CTCTCTGGTGGAGTTTGCGGTTATGAGTAAAAACAACTGTTTTCACATGGTTTCCATCAATCTATCTATCTATCCATCAGTCTGTCCATCCGTCCACCCATTCATCCATCCATCCATACTGCGTCTCTTTTCCCCCTCATTTCTCTTCTTCCAGTCCATGTCCGTCAATGGCCTTCACTGTAAGTCTCATGACTTCTATCTGATCCTGCTGACTAGTGTAGTGATTAACACTTTAAAGGTGATTTCCTCCGCTCTGTTCTGATCTACCTCCGTACAGTCTAGGTTTGAGAATCTTTAACCCGTCTATATTTAGACAAGATAACAGGAGAGGTTCCGTTTCCTGTTTCATCTGAATGCTATCAGCGGACCGACACGCAGTATTGGATTTGCCCATGCTGTTCGTCTGCTGCTGCTCCTTCAGTTTCACTGTACAGAGAAAAGGCTCAGTGTTTAGCTCTGTAGCGCAGCTCAGACAAGCAGCTTCCTGCATCACTGCTAAAATCAAATTAAAGCATCCCATCATGCCATTAGAGACGGAGAGAGAGAGAGAGACCTACGCTTGACCTTGTTATTTCGATTGAATTGTTCCATTTTTGATGCAACTTTTTTTTTCTAACGTTAGGATTTATTTCAGCGTCTGCTGCCTGTTGTTAAATGTGGATCCAAATTCAAAGTTAATAAAGTTATCGCTTGATGAAAGAGCAATTTGCACTGATCTGGTTTAATATGTTACTAATATCGCATCCTGCCAGTTTGTATTTAGCAAGGCTTGGAAATATGGCGTTGAATTCATCCAAAAAGAGACTCTTTGGAAGTAATTTTTACTATGTTTTCTGAAGTTACTCAAATGTATCAGTGCGACATTAGCCATCGCGGCACCTGGCTAACTCCGACATCCCACTGTTGTCACCGCTGACGTAGGCCAAGAAGTGACCGTGTTGAAACTGCGTGTCTGTGCCAAGCAGATGGTGCAGATCTGCTGCCAGACTCAGGCTCCACACTTGGCGGCGGGTTCACCCAAACACACACTGTTGTGGATTTACAAGTGTTTTCCAAGAGCATTAGTCAAAACGGTTTGAATTAGTCGACAAAAGGAAGGCAAAGGGTAAAAGTGAGTTCATCGGCCGGGGATACTGGGACGGGGGAAAAACGCTAATCAAGGGACAGAGTTTACAAAACGGGTTGTTCTTTTTTGTTCGCAGGCCTCACACACTCACAGTCACACACATTGTAGCTGGTAAACACTGATACTTTCCCCGTCCTGGCATTTGTTTTTGAACAGGCGTCTTCTGTCTAAGGCTAATGTGTCTGGTGTGATGAGGATAAAGCCCACAGTCAGATGGATTTAATGTTCGCCTCTCTCTCCTCGGTGCTCGTGACATCAGCAGATAACGCCGTTCCATCTGAACTCGTCTGCTTCCTTCTCGTTAGCTCGTTACACGGACGGCGATGAAAAGCATCGAAGTATTTTTGGCAGCCGAGCAGAAGCTCTGTCACGATAGAACACTTTTTCTTCGCTCCGGGTCGTCTGTGTCACAGATGTGAGAGGCTGGATCACGTGTGATTAAACCCTCGGTGCTGACACACGGTCCATGTACAAAGAAGTACAAGGGAGGATTGTCTCACTGGAGAAACACGCCTGGAAATCATTACAGCGTTACTGTCAACTAAGGACATTTCATTTTACTAACGAGGGAATACAAAGTGTGGTTTGTTTCATTTGCATTACTCTCACTCGGGAAATGTCAGCTTCTGATTGTAAATAAGGGTTTCCTGTTTGTTGTCGTCGCGTGTCTTCGTAGGGAGACATTTGGAGGTTCTTACCAGCTGACTGAGACCATGGGACTTTAGGGAAAAGGAATGTTGGACAAGGTGGAACAAAGGCATCGGACTTGAGGGCAGAGGTCTGTCCTGTTGGGTCCTGCTTAGAAGTTGCTGGTCTCTCATTAACTCGTCAATCATTCTGAATGAGACAGCTAAGGACCAGGGCGACAAGACGTACAACCTGCAGCAGCTGCGCGCTTTTTGCCGTAGTTTGACCTGTATGTTAGCTCGCGCTAACTGAAACACCAGTTTAAGTATTGTGTCTATTTAGACCACTGTCTAAAAATAATTTTTATTTTGAGTTGGGCTAAGTTTGTCTGTTGCCATGTTTTTGTTTTTTTTTTGAAAGACTGAATCCATCATCCCCACGAATGCATTTTCTTTAGGTTTTCAATTCTGCGCTGAACTCATCAGATAAATAAATAAATAATAATTAATCACATATAGACACATACACACTGAGAGATATCACAAAAATGAAAAAAATAGTACATAAAATATTTCATTACGTCTACAGTGCATGGCAGATAAAGTTAGGGATCCAATTGTTTTCCTCGAAAAAAAAAACAAAAAAAAATCACAGGTCCAGATACAGTTAGGGAAACCAATTGTTTTCCTCGAAAAAAAAAACCAAAAAAAAAATCACAGGTCATGTATATAAGAGCCGCCATAGAAAACAAATCAGCAGGCGGCAACAATTAGCTAAAAACCTGTGAGCGATTATTACTGGTAACTGGTAATTTGATCTCACCCTTCCTGTACTATTTAAAATATATATATATATAATATAATATAATGTAATTGTAATTGTAAATCGAATGCAAAAAAAACCCAAAAACGTTTTGTTCCCAGTTTTTGTTGTTTTTTTTCCTTTTTCTCTTTCCGTTTCGTCCTCGGCCTAATGATGCCATGGTTAGGCATTAACTGAAACCACACATTAGCCATTTCCAAGTTCAGCCCAGCAGGACATTAAAAAAAAACCCAAATCTCGTTAAGCTCCAGTGACCTTTACGCTGCGAAGACAAAAGCGAGTAGCTGTTTACCTCCTTCCTCATCAGCGATGAGCTAATACTCACGTGTGGTCACATTTCCTTTCAGTGCATATGTAATTATAAATTAGTGTTAGGGCTTGGTAATTGTTTAGAGTCATGTTTTATGGTAAGCTGGGATTGGTACGTACAGCAAACAAACACATTAAGATATATATATATATATAATACATTATATTATTGTTTATTCTATGAAATTCCTAAATGCCCTAACTTTATATGTGGAAAAAGCAGGAAATAGTTGCTCTCTTTAACCTCCCCTCCAGTGTAACAGCGAGGGCAGTCGTCAGAACTTTCCACTCTGCCTGGGAGAGTCCTCTAAAACAAAGCCCTGTGTATATTTCAAACAGATTCCAGGCACTTTATCAACATGAGATCAGTTTTTAGAAAAATTGCTTTTCTAGAGTCGTTTGCAGTAATTCGGAACGTGTTTAAAACAAATGAGGCGTTTTCAACCGGCTGTTAGACGCTAGATGCTAACAGGTCGACACAGATGTTCTCCCCCTGGTGTGGATTCATGATAAAATCTCAAGAGATTATATTGGAGGGGGGGGGTGAAAAAAAAGTCAAATTCTCTCCTGCAATTTGTAGTTCAGAAAGTATGGCATGTCATTTTGCTTAAGTGCTGCGCCCTTTAAAGCCTCAATTTTCTTCGCCCTCTCCGCCCTAAACCAGATGGTGTCGCAAGAATCACTAATGAATATTTATGCAAGGGTCTTGGTTAACAACGGGGCACACATGCTGGGCCACAGCTCCCAAACGTTGGGAGATTTTCTCAGAACAGGATTGGGTGTGGAAGGAGTTTTGAAGAGAAAAGTGTTGAGAACTTAGGCTAAAACACAAAAACTCAGGGCCGCAAAATGCCAACGGACCTGTGAAAATGACACTGGACAACGTGTCCCACGTGGTCCCCGAATCTGCCGCTTTCACTTGGGTAAAACGTCTTGTATTTCCTAACCTCTGCAGTCTGTCAGGAAGCAGGCGCACTGAAACTCCATCCATACACACAGCGCCGTTAGACACGAGGCAATGTCAGCTATTTATAACTCGCATTAGAACTCTCAGACTCCGGGCAGGAAGGGGAAGCTGGAGGAAAACCGAGATGTGATGGAGGGAGGAGTGGAAGATGAAGAGCGGCCGGAGAGAGTGATGCAGCGAAACGGGAGAGGGGGAACGACATCAGCAGTTGTTCCTAGCGTCTGTGGAGCTTTTTGATCAGGGAGTGGGACGTCGAACCCATCAACTTTGAGGCAATAAAATATCAAAACCAAAACACAGAAGAGTATTTTGATTGGTTCCCTGGAACTCTCTTGTGAAATCATAGACAGAAATGTAATTAAATATAACCAGTGATAATCACTGGTATGTCTGACATGGGTTGGTGGGTTTCCTCGTACTTTTACACATGCTGGTGCTTTGTGGGGGTAGACGCCCTTTGAGGCCAAACTTTGACAGCTGTTTTGCTGGTTGAAGGGGGTTTTCTTTCTCTGACAATGGATTGTGATTTGAAAAAAAAAAAGAGAACCGGCAAGAGCTATGGAGCAACATAGAGGGAGCCGGGGAGGCAGATTCAGGGGGGGGAGGGTTCAAGGAAAGAGGGTATCAGACGCAGGGATAAGACAGCTGGGAGGGACTGCTTTGACTGGTCCCAGATCTTATTGTGCACTTGTCCTTCTTAAGTCATCGAGACCAGGAGGAGAGGGAGTTTCTTAGTCTTCAACCACCTGTTGTCCAACGTCCCTGAAACGTCTTTTTTATTTTGTTCTTCACATTCCGTAATATTCCGTTTCGGCACAGATGTACAGTAGTTATGGTGGTGTATGTGAGGAAGAGCATCGACTCTCTGCTGTCTGTCTTCAAGAAGGGTGAGTGCTGAGTGGACGTGATGGATGTTGCTTTGACTGCGAGGACTTTTGGACTAGAAGCATGAATTGTAAATGGCATTTTAGATACATATTAGCCAATTGTGGCACTTGACTTCATCTTGCCTAAAATGATTCCGTTTTGGAATTTTTTATGAAGGTTGAAATGCGTCTGACAATCTCTGTCCAAGTCTGTACAAACCCACTGTCTTTTTCCATATGAAAAAAGTCTGTACAAACCCACTGTCTTTTTCTTAAAACGCAGCTGGCCTGAAGGGTACTGAGGACCAGAAGAGGTTGACCGTCCACTACACAGGCTCTCAGCACCACCAGGAAAATGTTTTCATTGCGGGCAGCCGACCACAGTACCTGGAAGACCTGCACACGGAGGCCCAGGAGGGTCTGAAGATACTGCAGCAGGAGGGTAAGACACTCTCCGCAAATGGCCGCAAATAACGTCGTGTCGACTGCGTGTGTTTATGCTTTTGTTGTTTCCTTTCCACAGAGCACAAAAATGGAGTGAACTTCGATGACGACGACGACGACGACGACGATGAAAGTATTTCCGTAAGTTGTGCCAGAACTCTTGTGCTACTCTTTTGTACACATTCTCAACCTGACTTACTGCTACTCTGTGTGTGTGTGTGTGTTCTCTTCAGTCCTCCGACACTCTGCGTCCAGAACAGGATACCGGCTCCAAGGACAGAGAAGTCCGTCTGGAATCAGAAGTCACTGCTGAGACCGATGACGCCACAGTAACCTCTCCTGTTCCCACAATGCCTTTGCTGACTCATCAAGGTAAAGAGTAAAGACTCATTTCAAGTTATGATTAAAAACAAACGCAATCTTAAACCATTGAATTATTTCATGAATATAACTACAGTATATGGCTGAATAGGTAATGACCCTGTTCTACTACTTAATCCACTTACTCCTGGGTATTATATGTTTTTTTTTTTTCTGGTTTCAGGTTCTACATTTAAGCCTGTCAATCCGGTGAAAAGATTAGATAAGAGCAGGAGGAGAAACAGGAGGACCACCATTATGGGCATTCCCAACCAGGTTCAAAAAGAGCTGGGTATGTGTACAGTATTTCAATTCTAAATTCTTGCCTAACTCCCTTTGAAGCGACTGTGTTATTGACTGTGATCCATCGTCTTCCCAGCACTGCACAGAAACTCCACCTTCCAGCCACTGATTCCTGAGCAGCTCCCCAAAAAAGACGGAGAGGTCAGTGACAGCCAACCAGGAGTCATCATCATCCCTACAGTTGACGGAGGGACGTCTGCAGCAAAAAGTGAAGGAGCGAGAGTGCACCTTTCAGAGCTGGAGGTACAACTTGGTGATTCATAGAAAGATTCAATCTGGATTTACGGCAGAAATCCTACAGTTTCCAGCTTCATCTTTCTGAACAGGCAACCAAAGATGCACAGCTGCTAAGAAAGCATCTCCAAATGATGTTCCAGAACGAACATCTCAACCAACATGGCTATGAGTCCAATCGATGCTCCAACTCCTCGATGAGACCCAAGTCCCTCGCAGTACCAGGCATGACCACCGCTGCTCCCTTTTTTTCTTCTACAATGTTTAGTGTGCTCCAAGAATCGCAGGTAAAAAAACAACAAAAACAAAAAATCAGATGTGATTTTACAACAAACAACAAAAAATCAGATGTGATTTTACAACAACATTTTGTCAATCTTCCGTCTTCATGACTCGTGTCTTGTCGTTGGTTTCCAAGGGTCCAGTGATGTCCATATCGCCTCAGGCGACTTACTTGTCTACAATCATTCCAAACGCAATCCTCCCCGCTTCGATTGAAGTCATAGAGATAGATCGAACGAGCAGTCGAACGCGTGGCAATAGTATCAAAAATGGAAGTAGCGCTATCAGCAAAAGCCCTTCGATATCTAGAAGATCGGGAGGAGACGACCGTCAAGTATCCCACTCCTGCGACAACTCCGTACAAATGCCTTCATCAGTGTCGGGATCCAACTGGAGTGAGACCCAGTCTTCAAAAACCATCCCTTCCAACTCATCTCCTGCGTCGTCCAAAGGAAGTTCTCGAAGTGACAGCCGTAACAGAGTGGGTCTGAGTGAACAGGATCTCCAGCAGGATCTGGATCACGTCAGCCTCTGCAGCTCAGTGAGCACATTCAGTACCTGCAAAAACAAAGGCGGAAATTCTTTTGGAGTTCAAGAAACAGGTTCGGTGACGGCGGAGGAGGACGCAAAGAACAAGCAGAACTTCAGTCGTAGCCTTTCAGTGATGAAGACCAGACAACCTCCGGCTCCCCCACAGAGGACAAATTCACTTCATATTAATAAGATCAAAAATAAATCCAGGGTTCTGATGGAAACACAAGATCTAAATATTGTTCTGTCAGCAGAGACAGGAGCTACTGCAAAAAAACATTTGGCAAAGGATGAGGTCGGGTTCGTCCCTGGAGGTAATGCTTCAATGTCGAACTCTGCAGGAATTAGACGTCAAGATTTATTCTCTAGTCCCACTGAGAGAGCGTGTGTCAAGATTAAAGAGCCAGAGAAAATGTCCCCCGAAGAGGTGAAGTTCGAACGAACCATTTCCCCGTCCAGCGGTTACTCCAGCCAGAGCGGGACTCCAACCCTGTCGCCCAAAGGTATCCCTCCGACATCCCCAGATAAACAAAGGAAACCCATAAAACCGGAACGATCCACGTCTCGGGCTTCATCCTCAGCGGCCTCACCTTTCTCCTCCCTCACCTCCCTATCATCAAGCACGACCGAAACTGTTCATTCTGACGTTTCGTCGTGAAGCCCAGTTCTTTCTCCACAGGAGATGTCACCCAGGAATAACCAACATCAAGTCACGCCAAAGAATACGAATTCTGACTTCAGAGAGCTACTGAACATCCCACCTCCTCCCAAGGTCAAAGCACCGAGCCCTCCTCCTCCAGAGACTTGGGTTCACAACAGATGCACCTTTGAGTTCCTGTGCGGCCCGTACCCCTTTGTCAACAAACAAACTCCAGAGGGCGCAGTTGTATCGACAAAGACACAATGTGATCCCGGTGAGAAAACAATCGATTTGGTCAAAGAACAGAGGACTTCATTCAAATCTGTCACAGATTCCTCTGATGATAAAGAGAAGTCGGAGCCCTCGATTGCAACATTTCCCACTGAGGTCCCCGGCGAGCTGAAAGAAGACAGAGGGACAGAGGAAGATGAAAAATGTCCAGATGTTCCAAGACAGGAGCAGGGTAGTTCTGCTGATAAAGTGGAATGCAACAAAAATCAAGAAAGGGCTCAAAAGAAACACCCTCCACCTGTGATGAGGAAACCAATAATGCTGCACAAAAGACTACTGGCGTCAACAGAGCAGCCGGTGGAGAAACAGCAGACGGACATCAACGGTGACACACCGATAGTGGACTCAGAGAAAAGCACAGGGACAGACTCACGGAGTGGGGTTATTGCTTCAGTGGATGGGAGTAATAATGACAGCGATACCGTCAGCAGGCTCTCTCCTCCACCAACTCCACCAGCAGCAGACCATCTTACACCTCCCTCGTCAGTGTCAGCGCCTCCAGAGGAACTAGAAGTACAAGAAGAGAACCATAACACTGAGTCTTGCTGGCCTCCTCCTCCTCCGCCGCCGCCTCCTCCTTTGGAAGGGGACTCGGTCTTTGATGGAGGCGATGAGGTAGACTTCCCACCTCCACCTCCACCAGTTCTGACAGAGATTGTTCCAGATGTGGTGGACAATTGCATCAAAAACCCAGACATTCTCAGGGAGTGCACTGCAATGACTCAAGAAACCGGAGAGACGCGTGAAGACCAAAGGCAAGCCGAGACATCTGGAGAGGAACCGAAACCACATCTGCCTGATGCCGTTCCACACTCGGCAATATATGACAACGAACCAACAGTGGAGGCAAATCATTCAGACTCAGACAGTGTTGAGGAGAAACTTCTGGAACGAGGAAAAGATGCAAAGGTTTCATATTTAACAGACGAGGAAACTTCTCTGAAACTTCTGTCAAACAAAGAACATCCTTCAACAGTCCCCGCTTCGATTCCTGGAAATGTTTTCCTGAGACCTGACATATTGAAAACCGAAGATGAACCTTCCCTGGGGCCGATAAGTAACGGCCAAATTGCATTTGTAGTGCCAGCAGCTCCTCCATTACCAGCAGCAAATACGTCACAAGGAGCTAATTTTAGAAAGCAGCCGAATGGAACAAACAGAGACGCCAGGAGTAAGGAACTCCTTTCTCGTCACAAAGGTGCCCCGATCCCTAAAGAAGATGCGAATATACCTCTTGTCACCCCTTCGCTGCTCCAGATGGTTCGTCTCAGATCGGTCAGTGTGACTGAAGACCAAGTGAAAGGCGCTCCTGAGGACAAATCCACAAACCTTGAAGCTCCAGCTAATGAAAACTGCTCTGTCGTGGGAACTCAGAACGTTCCACAGAAGCCAATACGCAAGTCTCTGTCTTTAAAGTCTTCACCTCAGATGACAAAGACACCCATGATGATGATGACCTCCCCCTCCGTGCGCTTACAGGAGGCCATACGCATAAAAACAGCAGCCATGTGTTCGAGAGATGAGCTCCCGTCCAGACTGGGCGTGAGGTCATCCGCCTACAGTTGCCTTAACGAAAAAACACCCGGCAGGTTCGATATGCACAAATGTCCCGCTTCCACGGCTAGCTTTATCTTTGCAAAGAGCGCGAAAAAAGTCGTCATAGAGACAGTGGCCGCCTCGTCGCCTGAAGCCCAGACGGGTCACAAGCAGGGCTTAGAAGTCGAGCCCACGCACATGGCTGAGCGGTCGATGTCTTCCTCTTTGGCCAATGGTGAAGTCAAGTATGAGAAGGTTCCTCCTCCGGTCGCACAGAAGCCAGCACATGGTGGTGTCGGTGCTTCACTTCATCCTCCTGCATGTGTAGAACAGTTGGCCTGCACCGGTGAAGTAAATGAAGCAGCAGAAGTACAACACACAGGAGAAATAACACCGGAGACCACAAGTAAGAGCTGCGGCTAGCAAATATGACATATTCTACCATCATCGTCATCTGTGATTTGGCCATGCAGCTGAAGGACAAAAAATAGTATTAGTATGTATATATACACATATATATGTACATATACATACACATATATACATATATACGTATATATGTGTGTGTATATATATATATATATATATATGTATATATATATATATATATATATGTGTGTGTGTATATATATATATATATATATATGTGTGTGTGTATATATATATATATATAACACATAAGGTACAGCACATCTAGCTAGAGTTGTGGCTTTTAGTGCTGAAGGATCACTGCTGTCCTTGTGTGCTCTGCTGACTGTGAAGATTCCGGGCTGATTTAGTGCTAACCAAAATCAATAACTTGTGTGCAACTCTCTTGTCATGCACAAAAAAAAAAAAAAAAAAATTGCTATGTCAAGCCTTACCATGAAACACATCAGCAAAACACTGCCTTCAGACTCAAACCTTTGATACCCGTGCCAAAGTTAGACCCCTCCCACACAAACATCACCGCTTGGAGCTTCTTTCCTGATGAGTGTGCAAGTACGTGCTTTTAATCACTTTAGAAGTTTTACTATAAAAGTATAAGCACATTACTGACTGCAAAATTATTTAATTTATCATATAACATACCCAAATTACAATGAAATGCAGCATATGTGGAGGAACGATCACACTTTCCACGGTTTATGTCGCCCTCACCTGGTGACTGCTGAGATTAGTTTCAGCATGATAGATTACATGTAATGGTCTAGCAGTTCATATATTGTAAATGGGGTCATAGTACCCTCTGCGGGAGGTTTATGGGATTGCACATACAACCAGTACACAATCGACATTTGTTTTGTTTTCCTTAACTTTTTAGAATATGCACGAGCTCATGTAACTGTATTAACATATTTACTTCTGTCTTCTATCTACAGCTACAAGAGTGACAGCAGACACCATTGAAACACTGTTTTGAATTTTTGGTGGTAAACTGTGGAGGTGGAAGAAAAAAACGAAGGCCCTGAAAGTGGAGACAACTCCCGGCAAGGACTGACAGACATTACTCTCAGTGGTTGATGTGCTTTAAATGTAATCCAAAGCCTTAGCCCGTTCACGGCCTCACCGTACACTTATGCAGAAATATCATGCTCCTAGTTTCCATTTATAGCTTTATTACGGAGCATTTTTTTCTGCACTGTTGTCGTAGCTTCCAATCACAACCCCCCCTCAGGTTCGACAGGTGTAGGTCAGCTCAGATTTAATTATTTGACGCGGGCGAGATCGCCTCCTAGAGGTTCGATTAGGTGGTGCGGACTGCAGCTCAGAGAGTGAAAATGTCTCAACACAATCTCTGTACTTCTTGTTGTTATACAACAGTCTTTCTTCTTTCTTTTTTTAAAAATGGGAATTTAAAACTATTTGCAAAAATTAATACATTTGCGAACTCTTTAATCTTGGCTTTTCACCTATCTTCAACTAACGACCTGAAAAGTATTATGAATTGCACCTATTAAAATAAAAAACAACAGTGAATTTAAAGTAACAAGTTACATGCTTGGATTCCACTAGCGGCACTATCACACACTTTTTTCCCATTAAAATGTAGTTATTTAAAATTGTCTATAACTTAAAAACCACTTGAAGGGCTGTGGTCCTAAAAACTGGCTCTGGATGATTTATACACTGGAGTGGACCTAATCTGGGGTCGGCTTTTGTATCAAATAATCTCTATCTAGATCTTTGTAATAGCAAAACAAGCTAACGTATCTATTTGCACAGAACGCTTTAAAACACCACAAAATCATCAGTAAGTGAATTATGTCGGCTCATACTTCTGGGTCAACGTTGAATTGATTTTTTTTTGTTGTTGTTGATTATAATGCATTGTGTACAGTTATTACTTCTATAAATAAAATTTTAAGTGTACAAAACACGTGTATTTTGAGGTTTTGTCTACTTACATTTGTCTCGTCGGTTTAGGCATTGGATTCCTTAAAACCCTAAATACAAAACATAAGAAAATGTTCATTCTTTCTTTATTTTATTTTATTTTTACAACCCCAAATGCACAGAACCGTCCCTAGTATGTATTGATACATACATATCACACTGCTTTCTGACCACTCTGTGAACTTTATAAGACAAAATGCACCTTGCAAGTAAATAACAAAAAAACTGAACCTTTATTTATTTTTGTGTGATATGTAGAATTACTGATATGATTGGTTAAAGAAATGCCATATCCAAATCACCGATAGATGTTTTTTTTACCTCACCCTAAGACATTTTCCATTTTATTCCCAGTAGATAAATGTTATTAGATGTTTGTTGTTGTCTTCAGGCATCACAAAAGCATGACATTTTACAGGAATGTGTGAATACCGACAAGAAGTGCAACCAGATTTTTTTTTTTTTCCATTCGTAAGGCAGATTTTTTTAGAATTTAATTTACCAGACCTTCAGTGGTCACCTGATAAATTACTACACACTCATTATTTTGGGTTTGACCAACTGCTTGCACCACATCAAAATTTTAAATTAAATCCAACGTTAACCTCTTGAGAGATTTGCATGATTTAGTTTCAGTTTCTGCCACCTGAGATTTTTTTGTTACATTTCAATGAGTGGTATGAGAACCTGCAGAACAACAATCCTTCATCTGAAGAGGTTCAGTTCATTCTATCAGGCAGAACGTGTGGATCCTGTCAATTCAAGAGCGTAAGTAAATATTACTCAACTTTTTTCGAGATAAAATGACTTGAAAAGGATTGGTCTGAGGGTAAGTCCAAAAGAATTTGAGACAGTTTTTAACAGCCATTTCCTCATCATTCTCCGACACAACATGTAAAATAGACCTCTGTGATGCAAAGTGTGTTCGCGCTGTAACATGGAGCGGTTGCAGAAGCTTCGATGATTACAAACCTACATGGCGTTTAACTGATGTTGCCTCCTTTCAGAGTTTTACACGTGATCTGTCCGAGTTTGGTCATCAGACGTTTCTCTTTCCACTGAGCCACGCACTCGTCCGATATCTTCAGGTCAACCTGAGGGAAAAAACATTTGAAATCAAATAGACTTAGACACCACGTCTCCTGTGAAAATGTGACCGAACCCACCTGCAGTTTTTCCCACACTTTCTTCTTTGGGTTCAGTTTTTCGTCTGCTTTGCCCGACTCATATCCCTCCACAAAGACCTGCTCCCCTGGTGACGACCCCTCAGGTGGGTCCAGAGGCTCCACCCTCCTGGGCTCCCCTTCACTGTCAATCAGCAGGTGAGAGAAAGAGGGTGAGAGTGAGCAGATTGACCCGAGGTCCTCGCCTCTCGTCAGTTCGCGACACTCACATTGAGGCACACAACAACATGGCTTGAGACTCAATCCCTCTCATCTTCTGGGGCTTCAGGTTGCACAGCACCAGCACCATTCTGTCCTGCAGTTCCTCCTGCGAAACATAGGCCACCAGCCCACTGACCACCGTCCTGGGCTCTGCCTCACCCACGTCGATCTTCTCCAGGTACAGAGTTTCAGCATCTGGATGCTAGGATGAAAACAGAAATAAAAAGAAATGATGACTAATTTACCTCACAGTATATCAAGATACAGTGATGAGAATACAACAGACTATAATAGTGGTAATTCCAACCAGGACTTCCATAATAATCAAACCTCATGTCCTACCTTCTCCACACTGACAACCTTTCCCACTCTGATATCCATTCGGTGAGGGAGCACCTCATCATTTTCTCCTCCTCCTGCTTTACCTCCAGCCTTTCCTCCCTCTAATGAAACACACAAAAAACACATTCACATTTATTAGTAATCAACCAGTCATTATTTGAGAAACAATGTTTGAGTCACGTGGTCAGTAATGAAACAGTGAATCCTGGGGTTTAAACACTGACTTGTTTTTGAGGGGTCGGGGTAGGCCTTGTTGGTGAGCTTGCGGAGTTCGGGAGATTCAAACTTCTTCCGGATGGGCTCCAGAAGTAGGTTCAATGCAGTTTCTACCGAGGCCTTCAGGTCTCCGGGATGAATCGTCTGACATGCACAGCCGAAATTTCCATTTATTACAGGCAAAATTAACAAAATAAAAATAAAAATCCAGTTTCACTGCACTCTACCTCTTCAGCAAAGTCCTTCTCCACCTCTTCAAACACAGTGTAGACTTTATCTCCACCCCACTTGGCGTCTCTTTTGATGCAGAACTCTGGAACACAAATCTCAATTGTTATGTTTCACTTCTGGAGTGGAGGTAGTAGAAAAGAAAACAGGACAAAAAAAAACCCAAAATGTATTTTTACCTCCACGTAAAGGTAACAGGACATATTTCACAAACGACAGGACGCCATTGTTTTGGATGTTGCCTGGTTCACAGAAAGCCTTCTTCAGCTTCTTCTTCACGTCTTCTTTAGAGTCTAAAAGGTCGATCTTTGATTCCTGCACCATAAAAAAACAGTTATACAGAGCTTCTTATAATAATAATAATAATAATAATGTTTGCAGACTTACTTCTTCTGAAGAGCTCATCTTGCCGCCTGTTAGTCCTGGCACCATTGGGTTCATCAGATGGGCGCGTTTAGCATAACCAAGAGAAGGCAAGTACTGGAAACAAACAACGCTACAGTCACTCTAAAGATTTTAAAATCTTTATAAAATCTTAGATTTATCAGATATTTCAACCTCTTGACACCAACAGCCCTGTACGTGACACAGCGGTGAATGATGAGAAAATATGTAGAGTCTGAGATATAACTTTTACTATAGTCACGTAATATTTTAGTGGATAACAATAATAGTAAGAACAACCAGAAAAGTCATTCAGTTTTAGATTTAGCCTAATTTTTTTAAAAGGAAAAAAAGTAAACATGAATTTTGCACCTTTTCTGCCAGAGTGAAAATCTTCCTCTGATCAACTCCCCCAAACTGGGCATCAACCTTCAGGTGCTCCTCATCAAGAGCCTGAGAAGAAACAAACATTATTGGTTATATAATAAAATGGGCTAACACAACAGAAACACATCAGGGTTTCAACTTTTAAATATTTTTGCAGTATTTTAATCTGAACTCTGGTAGTAGGGAACTTTACATTTGACATTACATTTCAATTAAACTTTCTTTAGATGTATTTACCTGCAGTCCGGGATAGAGCAGACCGCTAAGCAGAGGATGCTCCACCTGCTTCACCACCTCAGCTCCAGCCTTCTTTGCATCATGCTCCGTCACCATAGAAGACAGGCGGTACACATCCAGTGTGTACTCTCTGAAAGCCACAGCAGAAAAAGAGCAAAAACATTAGGCTAAGTCTTCAAACTACAACAGCAGTACTGTGGCATGACTGACCTGCTGAGCTGAAAGTCAGTCCCTTTGACGAACTTGAGTTTATCCAGGGAAACGCCAATGCTCTCCAACATGGCCTTGATGACCTGCTCGTAGTATTTCACCCTGAGCTCCAACAGTTCCCAGGGGGCTTTCATGTTGTCAAGATAGGCATGCAAGTCTGCGAAAAGAATGGTGACCTGCATGGGGAGAAATCATGAAGAAGTTATTGAAGGTGCTGAAAGATGACCGTGTGGTCTTAAAGAGAATATAACGATAAAAACATTGTAGCAGCTTTACCTCACATCCAGCCTTGAGGAAGTCTGCAATCTTGGACATGGGGACAAAGTAAGCCACGTGGGGTTTTCCAGTGGTTGCTGTGCCCCAGTAGACTTTCAGTTCTCTCTCCTGAAGAACCTGTTTTATCTTTTCCTCCCCAAGGACCTCCTGTGGTAAAGACACAGAGACTGGTGAAACAGAAAGCGAAAGAAAGTGTTGAAAGTTAGGCTTAACGACTTCATGGGAAGCCTTCCAAATTCAAGTCAAAAATGTGAAATGCTTGTTTAGGCGGGGCACCATCAGAGATCTAATCGTACAAAAACAAACGTGGTAGAGAACAAAACGAAACGAAACGAAAGGTTACTGGGAGGATACAGATCAAGAAAAACTGCTTAAAACAAAATTCCATGCCAAACTGAAGTATGGCAAAGACGATCAGAGAGATAATACTGTAGGCATGGCTGTTGGAGTTTGTGAGTCTGTGGGAAAAAAAAGGGCTTTTATAACACATATGTGATGCAACTTAACTTAGTGTATTGACACAAATAATATATATATTTTTTAATAAATAAATAAACTGTCTCGGTCATGAGTGTGCTTGTCCTCACCTGCAGGTTCCTTGTGATGAGGTCGAACTTCTCATCTGAACTCATCTGATCTGGCATGGCTGACACAGCCCTCTGACTGTGACAACAGCAGTGATAAATAAATTATATATAAATAAAATGATAAAATGAAATAAAGTAACATATGAGAAATAATTACATTTGTCAGTTGGTCAGAGCGATGGATTACCGAGCCATTTATATCTTTGATTTTTTCGAACCCTGAATTGATTTTGTAGTGCGACAGTACGATAACTGTACGAACTGAAACTAGCTCTGTGGCTAACTAGCTTACACCACTGTAGAACTGGAAATACTTTCATTTTCATTGTTAGAAGTCTATTCGGCTTGTGTTATATATTATAAAGTCTATCATTCTCATCGTGCCAAAGACTAGACGTGAATAATCGTACTAAACCCGCTGACTTACCTCAAACCACTGCTTGTAACAGCAAAGCGTGTTTGACAGAAACCGGTGAGGTGGTGGAGTAAATTTGCGTCAGCCAAAACGTCAGCTCTGCAATCGATTTAGAAGCCTTACAGGCAAAATAATCGAACAAAGCAAAATACATGTGTTTTCTAGCAGTGCTCCCCCATATGGGATTTGAAGGTATTGTAATCCAAACATATATTGTTCTGTTAAAAAAAATCTTAACTTTTACCTTCTTCCAGTAAATAAAAATGTTGATATACTCCGTTGTGGGTATACATGTCGTAATAGATGCGTTTGCAGGTCTTTGGTGTATTTTAATTGGTAATTAAATGATTAAATAAGGTTTTCTTCATGTTTACATGTGCAACTAGCATGATATATCAATAAGACGTGCACCAATAAAAAAGAGAGGTCACTGTGAGGCAATGAAAAGAAGAAATAATTTAGACTTGTGAGTGTACATTTATTAAAGCACACAAATGTTTGAGTTGAGATTCTTTGTGAAATTTAAACACGAGTGCGTATTGCTTCTCTACATAGCATCCATCATTATCACATGTGCATAAAAAAGAACATTTTATTGCAATTCCACTTCGATTTTGCTCTAATCATATTTAGTTTATTGCAGACTCGTACTTGCATCGCAATGCAACCAACTATATCAACCAGAACCTGTAATAACACTAATAATAAACCTCTTTCTGCAGCTTGGGTGGGCATTTTAGCCCATCAACACAGTATTATCCTATTGTGTAAACAGCTGCTGGGGTCCACAAGGAAAGGGTCGGTATGTATTGACACCGATTAGAGTCAAAAGTCTGGATCCAGGCGAGGGAGAACTGGGAGAATGAGGTTGCCAAACGATGAGTCCTGGGTGATGAAGAAGCCCGACGAGTGGACGTGGGCGTGCTGCAGGGCAGCCTTCTGCTGGGCGGCGATGTGCTGCAGCTCCGCACTGTCTCTCGCGTCTTTTAAGCTCGGTCTGCTGGACAGAGGGATGTTTGCTCCTGGGTTGTTCATGGACTGATTTTGTAGAAGCCTCCTTTTCTCCTTGTCCAGCTCCGCCAGAATTGCCACACGAGTCTTGTTCTGAAAGCCTTGGGCCGGAGCGTTGCCCGCCATGTTGGCTTATTGTAAACAATAGCAAATTGACGCCTTTAATCCATATATTGGTGACATTCGCGCCTGATTGTTAGCGGCTGGTTTTTACGTTGTGCATGAAAGAAGCAAATATCATCTTAGTTTATAAAGTGGAACGACACAAACGCAGAATTCAGGATATAAATGTATTGCAAGTACTTAAATTGTCCGCCTTAAGCTAATGATGGTTATATGGCTAAGACATTCGTCGAGCGTTGCCAGCTTCCTGTTGTCAAAATAAAAGCGTGAATTGTTGGGAAACAACACAGCTATAAACTATTACTTTCGAAGATTGTATAATTTTTTCTTTACATTAATTCGATAAAAACTCATGTGATGTGAAAATAAATAACTCGTGTAATTGATCTAATAATAATAACAACAATTGTTTCTTATTTTTTTCTTTGCTCAAGCAAATAACACATTTGGTGGGAATTATAGCTTTATAAAAGAAATGAAAAAGTCCAATTTTGTAGCAAAAGCTGCGGGAGGGCTGTAGATTTAAAAAAAAAATAGTAACCAGTTAATCTAAATCGGTGCTCATGGGTATTTCTGCAGTCTTTAATGCAACAATAAGTTTGTCTCTGCACTTCTAAAATAGTTGCACTATTTAGGGAGCTTTCGTTATTTTACTTGTCACACAGGAAAACTTTTTCCCTGACACAAAAATAAAACTATTTAATGGTTGCATGTTAACATCAACATCCCAACACTAGATGGCAGAATGGTGCAGTAAATGTTTCCGGTCCACACTGACGATACTTCTAGAGAAAAACAAATAACTGATGACTAATGAATTTAATTAAGCTTCTGGACCCTATTTAACCGTTTCAATAAATAAGCTAATTAGTTTTGGTTTTTAAATAAATTAGTTTTATTTATTGCTTTACATTACGCAGCAGTTAGCTATACTTTAAAGAAAAATTAAGAGATTTTATTCTCAGCATTTCAAATGTACAATAAAATACTGTGAGATAAAACATTTAAATGTATATTATACATAAATACATTAGGAAAATTGGCCAGAAAGTAAAACAAGTCAGACATGACAACTCTTACCATACACTTTGCAATATTTATTATTTATTAACCTTTTCTTAAATAACTACAGCCATTGTTCAGACGTTCAATTTACTTGCACCCACAAATATCAAAGGCATGTACAGGTTTACATACAATATGTACATATGCACAAGAGGCACGTTCACAAGGCTTGTGTGTCTCTGTGAGATTAAAGCGCACACATTTGGCAACAGCCTCTAGAGTTTTCTGAAAAACAGTTCACTGAAAAAGCCATTAAAGAACCATTGGACATAAAAAAGAGAGAAGAAGAAAAGGAAAAAAAACAGGACAACATTTGTAGGGCCAAACATAATGGCACTGCATTTGGAGTTCAGAAGTATGGATTTAAAGAAGAAGAAAATCTATACATATTAACATTTTCACATTGACAACTGTTGTCAGAGACATGGTAAAGATGTAACATTATGTATAACATATAAAAATGCAAACATTTCCATATCAACAGATATGAATATGTTAAATAATTACAGGTAATGTGTTGATCACAGAGCACCCGTGTTGGGAGATCAAGCACATTTACAGTATGTACAAAAAATATTAACCTTCCAAAATAAATGGCGATGCCAACTTTTTGCTTTTACATCTCTCTTTTTTAAATTTGTTGCCACATTCGAGTGCTTCCCTTTTTCAAAATTCAGGGGCAAATACAGCAGTGATAGCAAGTATATTAAAAAAAAAGGGTGCGTTAATGCTTTAAAACATTGCCCTTTTTTCTTTAGTTGGAAAGCTTAAAATTTAAGAGTCTGGATGCTGCTCACAACACCGCTCTACAGGAGACCTGCGTGCAAAAGCAAATAAATATTTAAATAATTTGTACCGTCTGTCGTCACTTTTCTGATCAAAATGAAAGAAAGTGTTTCAGAGGTAAAAAAAAAAAAATTCTTTTCTTCAGTAGCTGTGCTTTAATATCAGGGTAATCTTTTCTCTGGCTGTAAAAGAGTTGGCGTTGTTGGTACAAACTAACTACTTTACACTGATGTAGTGGTTTTTACTGTTATGATTAGGAACTAATGGAAATGACCATTCAGTTTACAGGTGCTAATACCTTCAGGTCACAGAGTTCCAATGTCACATTATACCGGCAACTAGAAAAAAAAAAAAAAAGGGTCAAAGTACAGTAAGGTGTGATGAGTTTTGGCTGAAAGACATTAGTAAACAATTGTAATTGTAAAATTACCAATTTTTTAGAACACACACAACTATTTAATATTTCAAAAGCAAAGTGTACTTTTTTGTCCTTTTTCTCTTATTTTTTTAACAATTTTACCCCTAAACAGGGCTGAAATTAAGGCATTTGTTCAAGTCAAGAATGCTCACATCTCCGAACCATAAAGATATTGGTTCAGTGTTCAAGGTCTTTACCGTTTGTTCAATGTAAGTGAATAAAATCCGTTGGCAACTAGCATCAGTAATGACAGCACACGGTATGCTAACAGAACATCATCCCATCACAGTTCTTTTGTGAAGTTGTAACCAGTTTGAAACAAATCCTTTAAAAAGACAAAAAAAAGAGGGACTTTTTCACAGTACTTCAAGTTAAATGCTATACAAAGTGTAAGGCTTTCTGAGATCTGACTCAACCAACAGCAAAGTAGAATTTCATGGACGGTGGGAATTAGAAAAGTGACAGAAATTATGACGCAAAACCTTTGAAAGACATGAAACACAGTCTCATAGTGATGGGACACAGAGGTGTCTGTGTGATCCGACAGGCCCAGATCCGTTTTTGGTCCTGTCCAGTGCAAAAATGCTATCACCTCATTGGTCCGCGGGTCTTCTGTAAAAGTCCTAGACGATGTGTGCCAGCTCTGTGGAATCTGTTTCTGAGTCAGACTCGCTGTCTCTGCAAGACAAGTGTTCAGGGTTAGACCCGTTGTTTCTCAGATGCACAAAGAGAAAAAACAGAACTTCAAATCTTCCTCGTCAGTCTTACCTCTGTTTCTGTAACAACTTTCGGTTGGCCTGCCTTCTGTCCTCGGTAATGGGATAGAAGTACAATATTATCAGACCAGTAAAGATGAAAATGATCGGGGCGGCAGAAACCAGAACCTTTAAGGTTAAATGCACCTCATTGGGTTGAGTGCAGCCCCTGGTGATGTAGCCTGCAAAGCTGAGGACGTGAGAAATACAATCAGGAACTGAAAACAAACAAAGCAGTCCGTATCCCACAGGAGCATGGAGGAAAATAATCTGTTTTGCTGGGCTTCTCCACACTAAGTTACTGATCAAAAGACAAACACTGTAACCTCGGTCTTGTGATGCATGCAAAGACACACACACACAAACTAGCCTAACTCTGTTAAATCAGAAGAATGCTAAAGACAATAATCACTTTGATGGCCGAGAGATTTGGCTTAACCTTATTCTGTCTTTTCCATTTCCATTATGTTGGATTAATTCTACAGAACCAAAAATGTGCTACTCTTTCTCATCTAATTGGTACCTGCCACAATTTCTAATCTCCCGATGACTTCAAAGCTCCAGCACGACGCACACAATTTGCCTGAAGGTCAAACTTGGAACAAAGCGCTGCGTTCCTGTAAGAACTTACTCTAAGCTGAGAGTGGAAACACCCAGGGAGACTCCAGAGGCGAACTTGGTGAAGAAGACGTAGAAAGAGTAGAAGAGAGCTTCATGGCCCTCGGAGGTGGGGTTCTGGACTTTGAAATCGTCGACGACATCAGGCAACATGGACCTGAGAGAGAGGGAGAGAGAGAGGGAAGGAGTCAGAGTCACAACACTTTTACAGCAATTAAGGGTTTATAATGAGTCTTGTTGAGGACAAAAAAAAAAACAAAAAAAATTCAGTTCATACCATGGCAACAGGAAGGCGGACGCCACTCCAATCCCAGCAGCCGCGGCAACGATGTAGGTAACAATCAGGTTACTCTTCACACACACAACCATGATCAGGAACGGAATCACGGACTGAAAAGAAAAGACCAGATTAGGTGTCGAAATAACTTCTAATCAACACAGATTAATTGTTAATTTTATTTAAAAAAAAAAAATTCAGTTCAGTCTTTAAATAACGCCCAACTCCTGTCAATCTCACAGGTGATGTTAACCTAAGAAGTGGTGTCTGTGGGTCTTACCAAGCTGCCAACATAAACCGCCGTCTTCTTTCCAAAGCGACTGAGAAACCACTGCCAGGCCGGGATGGCCAGAGTAGCGAAAAGCTGTGAAGAGGAATAAAAATAATAATAAAAAAAATGTTGGGAAAAATAATCACAGCCAGCCATTTCCCTGAAAATGCCCACCTCATTACAGTAAAGACTTAAAGCTGCAAAAGACCATATCCTCAGATGTATTTACAGAAGGCTTCAGCTTCTGCTTTATACATATGTGTGTGTGTGTCATGATGCAGAAACTTTCTGACCGCTCAAACCAGCCAAAGACAACAGATATGATGGAAGATAATCCACAATATCCAGGTCTTCCCAAAACAAACCTGAGCCTCACAGGCTGCACAGCTTCACAGGGCTCATCACAAGCTCGGTCAGATCAGTGACCTTTGATCCCTGTGTTGGACCACTGTATTACTAAAACAGAGCCTTTCTAAAATTTTTTTTTTTTTTAAAAAAGGTTTAATTTCTTACTTGGAAAAAAGAAACGAAAAAGAAATGGGAAGTTGAGGTGGAGACTTCCCACACTATGTTGTATAATTATCATTCCTTCTCCAAGATTACCACATCATGCATTCTTAAAAAGGATCATTGTAAACCACTTCTTCCTGTACTGCTTCTAGCCCCGGCTGCTCTCCCAGACCAAAAAAATATTATTTATCTGCCTTTATTCTAGAAATTGAAAGTACCAAGAGCACAACTGGAAGTGAAACCTCATAATGCCAGTGAAGGCTGCCAACACTTCAAATGTATGAGAATAAGGGCATTTCATTACATAACTACATAAATGGACTCAGGAAGGTTACTGCCGTGGCTTTGTAATCCTTTGCATAAAGTAAAGGATCAGAGTGCGTAATCTGTGCTGCTGCTCTGATCCCTAATTTCTCATGTACATCTACTACTAATCAACATGGACTGAAAAAAAAGCAGTCTTCTAAGGTGTGTGGTAAAGAGAGGCCCTGACAGAAAAGGAGGCGCAACGGTGGCTCCTCTGCCGTCTGTGGGAATGCGATGCCCTTTAGGCCGAGCCGTCTCAGTGGACGTGCATCATGGGAATGGGCCACAAGGAGACACTGATTTCTAACCCGGGCCCAGAGTGGCTTTGTAACCCGAGACAATTTATGCACCCACTTGAGAAACATAGCTTTTGTTTGAGACGCGATGCTAATGGGTTCACATTCTCCACACCAACAGGCAGTGGAACGTTTCAGATGAGGAGACAATCGACTGTTATCACTATGGGAACCACAACTATAAAGCCACCTGTGTATCTGTGTGTGTTCTCACCATGATGATTAGTAAAATATTTTGGAAGTCGTTTCTGAATCCCAGTGTGGAGCTGCAAAATAGAGCAAAGTTGCCTTCCAGGAGCTGTGGGAAAATGCAAAAGATAAGAAAGGTTAAATAAAAGTTGAAACACTGTATTACTGTAAAAATCACTTATTTTGTCTGAAATGAAATGTTGCAAGTGGGGGGGCATGCTTTTTGTCACATATTGTAACTACTCACTCACCATGAAACCTAGTGATGTAAAAAGGAAAACCATGACCAGTTTGGCATACGGTCCATGTCCCATCACCAGTTTAATTCCCCTGAAAAAGGACATGGGCTCTGTCCTTACCCGTACAGACTCTACAAGTGAGGAAGGAGAAGAAAGAATTCAGAAAAAAAAAAAAAGACATTTGCACACATTCTTTTTTTTGCCTGTGTCTTGTGTTCGTTCCGATGCTGACTTTAAGGCTCATTCTTAATCAGTGACTTCGCTGGTCACGATGCTGTTAAGTGAACTAGAGCCTGAGTGCTTCCAAACAGCCCACAGTCGTACCACAGTGTGGCGTGTTAACTCTGCGACCTGATTGGACGGCTGCAGAAATGTGAGGCAGCACTGAGTCACATGAGTGACGCATGTGCATCTGTGTCCAATCAGCGACGTCAGTGATCAATATAATGAAAACAAACAAGGGCTGGTCATCTTAGTTGGAGTTGTACCTTTTTGCTCTCTCACGCCAAAGAAAAGAACAATAGCACAAAGGATGTAGATCAAGCAGATAACACCAGAGGCGATCATGTAGGCCACTTTCTGCAGAAGGATGACATCGGAGATTAGGATGGGTCAGGAAAAAAAAAAAACAACACAAATTTAAACAGTTTGCACTGTCTGTTTACCGTGTCCTCTAAGGAAATAACCGGCGTGGAGTTATTGACTTCAGTGGAATTAACTGAAACATTCTGCTCTGGCCCTACGTCCCCTGGTCCTGGAAGGCAGGGTGCGTTGGCCATGCCTACAATTTGTCCTTGGATAGCTGTGCCAACCACTGTGCCCAGAACTTCCACTGTCATCCCTGATCGTAAAAAAACAAAACGAAAAAAAGCTCAGGACACAGAAGACACTTGGTGAAGACAGTAACGTCCTGGATATTTATGTGGACACTCACTGTATGCTGTAGCAGAGTCTCTCTCTTTCTGCTCCGAGCTGATGAACATGGTGAGGGCAGAGTAGGGCACATGGAAACACTAATTTACAAAAAGGGGAAAGAGAGGGAAACAAGTCAATGCTTTGGTCCATTTATAGAAAGGTTAAACCAGTTCAATGATGCTGCTTTTTTCCTCTTTGGTAAATAAGAGAGTGAATATTGAACTGGTTTTTCAGTGTTCAAAACTGAGGTTTAATGAGGGGTGCAAAAACACTCCAGCAAGGGCCACGGGACTGCATAGATTATCAACAGAAGACACCAGATATACTGTATGTTACCCATAGATTTCGACCACATGGTGGCGATAATGCACCAGTGAGGTCTTTGACTAGCTCCAATATACAGAGATGATGATGTTTTAAATAATTGTGAATCGTGTACTGTATTATGATGAAATAATTATTAACTGTGAATTCAATATAAACAGTATAACTATTAAGTGCCTTTCTAATCAGGAGTTCACTGAGTAAAGCAAACCATTTTGTGTGTATGGCACATATGGAAGCAGCTGAAGTTCACGTCTGCATCAGTGTGGTACTCACAGTCTGAAGGGACTGGAAGAGGCAGTAGAAGAAGAGGTACCAGATGACCTTGCCGTTCTCGAAGGGCGGAACGTACCATATGAGGAAGTAGGAAAGCACGGCCAGCGGGGTCGAGAGCAGGATCCTTAGCACGGTTAAAAGAACAAGGGGAGAGGACAGAACAAAGACATCAGTGAGTGACAACGTGACATCTTTTGACAGGCGACACGCACGGTGGCTCTGTAAACATGCAGAGGATGACCACTGATTACACAACTGACACTGGTCTTCCATTCATCGTGTGCCAACTTTTATACATCAGAGGCCACATGGGAGTATAACCAGTTTGGTCTGGTGATTGTGTACCTGGATCAGGCAGTCCTTGAATGTGGAATTTAACTTCTGTAATATCGAAATGGTGAGTCTGAGCGCCTCCCTTGCAAGACGTTGGACAGATATTTATTTCGTAAATTCCTCCGCACCACCTTGTTCTCTACCTCCTTGTGCTTGGAGCGTTGCGTAAATTCTAACCATGAGGTCAACATATCCGCCGACATGGAAACTCCGGTGGCTGAAATTTCCTTTACACGCTGATTGTGGTTTGACTTCCCCCCTGAGCTCACTATGATGTCATGCAGTCCAGTGGACAGGGGTCAGCAGAAACACGTAAGATGTCTAGGAAGGGAGAGTTAAGTGGACAGGAAGCAGCTTCATTGATTCATTGCAGGAACTGCTGACTGTATACTCATCAGGTGTGACTCAGAGAGGAAATGATGACCCTTCAGGAACTTATCTACAAACGCACCAGGTGTATTTTGCCTCTGGCCTCGGTCTACATGTATTCCAACGATGGAACTGGCTCTCGGTGTGACAGAAAAGCTTTGAGGTGAGAAACATCAGCAGCAGCTGACATCAGTGTTGGTTACATAACAAATAAAGTTAAAATTGTGGTTGTTTCTCTAGGCGTGTGTGCAAGGAGTGGTGCTGGAGCAGATATTTTATTTGCAATGACAGCACAGTTTGGAATGCATCTCTCAGCACTACTACATTACATATTTGCAGTTGTAATTAAGGTAAGGTATACAGTACCTAGCGTTATAAGGGCCACTTTCTCTTGGTTGCTTTTTATTTTGAACAGTAAAAAAAAAATCCTCCACATGACTCTTTTTGTCATGTGGACGGGCAGTTCCGTAAGGCAGTTTACATAGTTAATCTTAGACTGTAGGCACACTAAATTCGCTGAACTACAGCGGGACACAGAAGGTCGTAAAGTACAACCAACCCACCCACCCTCCGCCTCCATTCTGGAATCATATTTAAAATGCTCTGAAATAGCCATGCTAACAGGGGAGAGTGCCGTCAGCCAGATCAGCTACTTCTTTTTGGAATTCGTCATGTCATCATGTGCAAAATAATAATTAATTAAATTGTCTTGTTTGTGTCACAGTGTCACTGATTCATAGGTTTTTTTTTAATATATTGTCAAACGTGGTGACAAGGAAGAGGAGTAACAATGAATGGGGACATTCACATTGAAAGCCTTCACAGTTTGAACTGAAGTAACCCACACTCTTCAAAAAAAATCCTCAGTGGCCCTACCGCAGACGCTATTGGCTTAGTCAGATGGTGTGTTCGAGCTCAACCAATCAGAAACTCACTCCACCAGTCTCCCCTCCCCCCACATCCAAGACACAGGTTTTGGAATGGCGCAGCACCGTCTCATTATCCATTGCTGTGCGTCTCAGAGGATAACCTCAAATGCCATTCATTCTTGCATCCTTCCCAACTTCCTGCAACAAACCCCACCCTGGTCCCGACCCCGTTTCTGATAACATATGGACAAGATGCAACACGTAGAATGAAGTTATCTGCAGGCACATGTACTAGCAGCACAGAATCAAATAATAATAATAATAAAAAAAACATACTGTTGTTATCACAAATTCCTTTTTGGATCGTTATTATTATATTATACACAGCTGTCGCTGAGCGATGAGCTTGTTTAGGGACAACACATTTATTTTGTATTCTAAATTAATTATGTAGGTGTTTCCCCAAAAGGCAGCCACAGAGGGAGAAACAGAAACTGAGGTTGAGACCACAGGAGGGTTTTGTGTCTGCTTTCATTTCCTGCCTTTGCTCCTTTGATTATTCAGCTTCATAAGACACAGGGGAGAGACAATATTTTCAATATTCAACAACAAACCAATACACTGCACCCAGCGTCTGATGTAAACAAACACACCTCCGCTGCTCCTGCCCCCTTTAACTTGTATTCTAGTACAGGTTTTGCGCTAATAACGCTCTTTAATATTGCAGATCCTACCTCATTCTGCATGACCAACAGTTCACACTGACACCCTACACTGCCCCCAAACTCTCACCTCCATGTGAAATACACCCCTCACACGTACACCATAAGTTGCCTACTAGTACATAGTACGGAGAGAAACAGGTACATCGTAACCCTAACCAAGATTTCGGGTCTCAGGCTTCACAGATATTTGCATCTGAATTCTACAGATGGATTTATTGAAATATTGTTTCTGTGCCGTCCTTCAAAGAGCAATTCTGGGATGTGCATAAAACCAACTGTGTTCAAAGCTGCTCATATTTGTCAAGAAAAAAACTACACAAACACAGAGAAGGCTTTGTCCTCAAGGCTGCGGTCCATGGTCAGGTCAGTATCTTCTGACTGGAGTCAGAGTTTTTTAGTGCAGTACATCATATCATCACAAGCATGTACGGCATTATAGCGAGTTTCCTAAGAGAGGCAGAGTAATAGGGTGGAGGAGAACAGTCTGAACATAAAGGCATTCATTGGTTATGAGTAAGGGACACTGCCTTAGCCTGCCTTGCCAGCCTATGACCTGCAATTAACCCTTGTGGGAGCCTCTGCCTCCAAACACTGACACGTTTACATATAACTAAAACTGCAGCTGACAGCATATTTCAACAGCCAAGTGTGTGACAAATGAGGATTCAATTACATGAGGGGCGATTTTATTTTTAACATGACCCAAACATTGCAGCTAAATGGATGAGGGTCTAGCAGATTACCCCTTTTTTTTTAAATAATTTGCTTGGTGAAATAAACTTCCGAGGTAGACATACCATGGCATCATGCGTCCAAAACGGGTCCACGGGCTGCGGGAAACCAGGAACCCCACAGTGGGATCGGTCACTGCGTCCCATGCTCGGCCCACAAACAAGATGATGGAAGCGTAGAAGGGGTCAAGCTGTCAAAGAAGAGAATGAACAAATGTTAGTGTTAATAAAATAATTTTACACCAGACATTATTCATTTGCATCAACGCTGATAAACTGCTAATGATCTGGCTCTTTACTAGTCTTCTGGGATTTCAGGACAGGCCTAAACCCTTGGGGTCTGCCTACTTACACATTATTTGAGCCCATAGATTAGTGTCTGAGCCTATTAAAGCAAACTGCCATAACTCATGCTACTGCCCTCTGCATTTTTCTGAATAAATCCTCTAAAGCTTGTTCATTACAGTGCAGCCTAGTCATGGTTTCCATAATAAAGAGAAGAGAAACTTTTTCCATCTCTTAATTTTATCCAGGGCGGTGGAACCAATTGTTGGGAAGCTTTGGCTTCTCACATTGTCCTGTGCTTCATGTGCCCTTATGCAGTGCTTTAAAGGACACAGCAGGGATCATGTGCAGCTCCATGCTTTCAAGCATTCAAATGCCGCCTTGAGTGCAAGGCTCTCACCCTGATGCCAGTGTCTTTTAAGCAGCCTGGTTATATTAGGATGGGATATAAATGTGATGCTAAATGTCTGGACTGTATATCAGTGACTTCAGCAAACTCACCTGAGCAACGTCCAAGAGATAGATTTGCAAAAAGAAGCCGAGGGCACATCCAGTGATTTGGTAAGGTGCTCCGCCAATGGCATAGCTGAGTTTGTTGCATATGGACAACCTGTTCCTGTGCTCCCGCTGGAAAAATAAACAAGGGAGAAAAAAAAAACAGTTACATATTAATTATTTCATGAATGAAAACTATGATGATGTGGCTCAAACTTTTATAGAGATCGATTTTCGCACACGTCAAAATTTGCTGCACTGCTGGCTGAGCACAGTATCATTGTCTGGTCCCAGTTTCACATTGTAACCATAGAGTATGTGCAAAAGTGTTCAGGCTTTGGCGGAGCCAGGTCTGCATAATTATAGAGGGGTCTGCGAAGGCACAGGCGGCAGTCTCTCTTTTTAGCACATCCGTTCTTATGGTCACAAAATACATTTCCTCACTGAACTAGCTGAACGTTTGCATCGTCCTACTCTGTAAATACAAGAGTGCATTTTTATTGAGCAACAAGTCATAGCTGGGAGGAGAGACAATTCAAGGATGTGGTAATTTACAGTGAAAGCTCTTATTAAACTAAGTGACTGGTGGTGGGACGGTACAAAAGAAGCTTTAACTCTTTTTTTTTAAAATGTCAAATCACTGTTGGTTTGTGCCAGGACGTGACAACCAAATGGAGTCACAAGCACCAGAGGCAAGGGTGACAGCACCCTGGCAAGAGTGCGAAGCGACTTAACCCACAAATAGACAGCGGTCAGTCCTCTGAACAATCCTCTGGCCACTGTTGCCTACAGTGGGAGTATAAACACACCCTCCTCCCTGACCAATCAATAGGTTATGTTTGTTTCCAACTAATCTGCCCATTATTCAAGCGATCAAAGAGTGTTACTGTTCCCGTTAATAGCTCTACATGAAGCACATGGCTTTGACTTTTTAGACCGTGGCCACATCTTACATCAGGCCACCGAACAAAAAAGGCAGAGCAATCCAAACCAAATAATCCTGCCTTTGTATAATCGTACACCCAATCCTGCCTTTGTTTTGGGTGACAACAAAGTTGGAAACTGGACACAAAAAAACCAATGACACTGAAACAACCATTTAATCTTTAGTGACTACTCATGCTCTAGTGAATGTAAAGCATGAACAGAATGTGGATTTTCACAGATGCAGACAAAAGAACTAGCTAGTCAAACCTAACCTGTCACGTAATATCCCATATTTGGCCTTGAACTAAGGAAATAGCTGGTTAAGGAGTGTTTAATTGTATAAAGTCTAAGGATAAGGCTGAACGGTGTGGACTATTGAAAAATGTTGGCTATTTTTTCAAGTGTCCCGTATACAATTGTCCTGTGTGTGTTTAGTTCGGGCTGTAAGCCCTTGTAGTTAAGGTATGTATATGTGTAGGTATTTAAATTATAGGGAATTTAATGCTTCTATGAATTCAATACATAAATATTTTGTCGTTTGACATGTTGAACATATTTTTTCAAAGCGACAGACGCCAGATAATTTACGAAATGCACGGTTACTAGTCAATTACCTTGTCAATTACCATTGTCAATTAACGTAATTACATTTTACCAAGAGAATTGGCAATATTGGCCACGTATTTCTTTTACCGTGACGTGGACCTTCCCCGACTCAGTCACGCCAATACGCCTGCCCCAGTGAAACACCTGACTCTGTTATCACAACCAAACGTTTTACACGTCGTGCAAAAAATACTGGGCGCATAATGCAACGACAATGCATACCGAGTTATTAAATATGGTAATGTCAAAAGACTGCTGACTTAAAATGAATATATTCCTCTCCTGCTTACAGTCTCCGGCTGTGACACGTAGCCTTACTACACGTTCACGCTGCTTTTATGGAATTCCGGAAACTGCATCTTCCCTAGTGAATGAGGGGCCTTGTAAATATTTAATGTATGGGTATGCAATGTAGGACTAAAAAAATAAACAACTTACTGTTATAAATTATAGACAATATGTTATCCGTTTACATTTGAAAATATCTTAAATATATTTTTCATTAACTTTGCTGTATTCGTGACAGGGTGACCATGAACGCAGCACGTAACTAGCCCTTTCTGATAGGGCACTTGTGTTCATAAAAATGCATGTAGACCACTTCGGCGGCATCAATTGTCGGCAACACCCTACATCAGCCTGGGGACAACGTGATTAAATCTCAAAGAAAGATTTGTGTGCTTTATTTATGATAGTGAAGCTATATCGAAACGACCAAACTGCGAGTTTTATGTACGCCTGGTTACATGTAAATGCGTATTTTAAATATAGCTCAGTGTAGTTGATGCAATGGCTACACTAGAACGCCATGATGAAATTGAACCAAAAGCTTTCCATTTATGTGGGTTTAAAATCACGAGGGAACATTTCTCTCGAGCACAGGGAAACGTAGCAGAGTCTGTTCGAGACAGAAAATGACCGAAATTTATATACACCTTTGCAATTATTTGACTGTTTTGGGGAGTATTTCGTTAGTATAATTTATCAGGCTCAGAATGGTTGTACAAAAACCTTTTAATAGTCGCTCCTTTAAATTGGAATTTTACCGGTGTGCGTTCCATTTCATTTGATTAGCGGATGTCACCGTTTGCTGTTGTCTTGCCTAATTTTTTGTCATTTTTATAACACATTATAACATTTACTTAATTATTAATAGACAAATATTTCAAATAAATGAGCCTACCTTCGGAGTAAGGGAGATGCCATCCTGGCTGACCGGTTTGTTCAATAAACTGGCGTTTGAATATTGTTCACCACCTTCTCCTTTGGCCATATCAGTGCAGTCCGTCTCTTGGTCCTGAATCCAAAACTAAACAAAGAAAAAGCTGAAATCTCTCACTCGAAAAAAGAAAAATGATATCAACCAGAACAGTGTTCTAATAGGGCTGGGGTCGTCGCGTTGTCTGATAATACTGAGCCCTTCAGTGTGTGAATTGCTGCGGTGCTTGGACGTAGTATTTCTGTTCACGACATCCTCACCACGCCCCCAGTGGGTGTTTCCCCTGAGTCTCACACATTTAAACAGCAGACCTGGAATTGAGCTGGGATTCGTTTGAACTAGTTAATGACGCAAATCTATAATCAGCCAATCACGTTACAGCAAATCAACACGGGGTACTTGAGGCTTAATAGTTAAGGAAGCGGACTTGGGCCCAGAAGGCTTCAGGTTCGAGTCCCCCAGCTGCTAAGGTTACCACTGAGGTACTCTAGTACTCTTAAAGCAGAGTTTGCGAGTTACGAAGACATAAATGGCACTCATGTTATTTGATTAAACAGCAAGTCCATTATAAGTCATATAGTACATTATTAAAACAACTAATAAACTTGATTTTTTTCATATATAAATATGACAAATCAAGTCTTTATTCAAAAGACTTTGAACTGATTAAAGACGCTTAAATCAGCCAATCACGTTGCAGCAACTCAACACGGATATTTAATTGATACGAAATTTAATTCCTCTATTTATGAAACAATTGTCTTTAATTGTATTTTGATATTTGAAAAATATTATTTCAGTGTGTCAGATAATTAAAGGACTGTCCAAATTCAAAAACCTTTCAAGTTGTTTGTGTGTGTTCGTATGTGTATGTAACTGCTATCTATGCTCAGACTCTCTACAGTCCTGTGACCACCGTTCTCTGTACTAACCATCAATGCAAGTTCAAAGTGACCATTTTTATTTATTTTTAAGTATAATAAATAAATGCCCCCACCCCCACAAGATGCATCACACGCTATGGTAAAATCATGGTTTTCTTGCTACCTTGGTCTTTAATTGCAAAGGGCCCTCCGCTCTGGCAGGAGGCCATAGGTCTATATGCTTCCATTTTAGCTGAGCACACATGCCATGAAGTCTCTAGTATACATTCGGTATACTGTGCAGACAGCGTCGCCACAAACACTACCTGCCTGAAAGCTTGTCTGTGTTCGAGGGACCTCCAGATTGTCGGAGACCTGCAGATTTTTTTTTTTTGCAATATTTGCTCAAGAATTACACACACACGCACACATCTGCCTCTTCCACAACTTAGACATTTACTGAAAACTGTAAATTTATTCCGACCATCTGTTTGTTTACAACCGAACGCAAACACGCCCCCCCCAGCTGCATTTTTTAAACTTGTGATAAACCTTGAACTTGTCAACGTTGCACAGCGTGAGTCTGCAGTGAACAAATCAATATGTGACACACACACGCAGACACGCGTACACACACACACACATGCCAGGTTAGATTAGATTAGGTTTTATGAATGTTATGTCCCTGCTTTAGTTGATCAGTGAATATGTCTGCTAAGACTGGAACTGTTTACCATTTGCCTTAGCTTGACTTGTGTATTTTATGAGGTAGAAGCCATAAATGTAAATAGATTTGTTTTTTAACAAAACACTCTCTTTGTGTAGATGCCTTTTGTGTTTTGGAACAAGAAAAAGTATCCAGTTGTCTAGAAAGTAATGTGTGCAGTGTTTAACCACTTTGTTTCTAGGGGTAAATCTAAACCGAGATACTTATCTGGAATTCAAAACTAAAACTCCCACAATTCTGCAAGACAAAGCCTGTCCACATCTCCCAGAGAAACCCAGCTCTAACCACCCAAACAGTTTCCCACGGATTATTTTACTCCTCCCATTTTAATAAGTTGGGCAAAGAAAAGGCACAGCACTTTGTACAACACGCATCTGAAGAGCAGGTAGTGACCCAGAATGTGGAACATGCTCCCTCGTGTTGTTGTACCTCTATTATTGGTCCATGAATGCAAACAAGGTGTACTCTGGAAAAACTTCATGCAAGAACATGATCTGAGTTTTAATGACCTAAAACGATTTCAAATCACAAGCAAGTTACACGCATAGACATTTCTTTATCTTTTATCTTTTGATGGAAGACCTCTACTATCTTGACCTTGATAACCCAAAGGTCTTGACAGTTGTAAACATATTAGAGAGAGTCATACAGTTATGGTTAGATCTCTTCTTTCACTATATATTTGCACGTGCCTGAGACCTGATGTGTGTATTTGTTGCCAAACATAGTTCGTTTGTATGTGAAGTAGGTGAGGCGGCGTGAAGCTGCGACTGCCGTGTGATGAATGCACAAGTTGTCTGAAAGGTTGAGCTTCTGTGCGTCACCCGAGATCATGTTATACAAAGCTACAGGGGGGGGGGTTGTGCCGCCCCCACACACACAAACACATACACAGATTGACTGAAAAAGACATAAAGGTTTTGTAAAGGAGCTAAAAGTTAGAAGTCAATTTGGGAACTGTTGCATTCTTTCGGTCCTGAGAGTCAGAATAGGGTTTTGAAACATTATTTTCCCAATACGTTTCTTCAGAATTTCCCGGTCACAAGTCAGTCTGGTGAACTTGAGCTCTATGAGCTGGCGTCTCTCTCTCTTTTGAGTTTTGTTGCTGTAATCAATAAGTTAATCAATAAAACTGTTGTTATCACGTTGATAATATATACAATTACATTTATTTGTACAGTGCTTCATCTCATATTATAATATCAGTTGTGGTGTTTGATTGGTAGATCCTGTTGTTCTGGTTTAAAGGTGGAGTAGTCGAGTCTTTTAAATAAATAAAAATGAACTAATCAGCTTAAGTATACAAAATTATACTATATATATATATATATGTAGTACATGTTTACCATTATAATTAAGGTTGCATAGAGAATACAAGGGCACCATTAATACATGAAGACAGTAGACAGTTCAAGGATCACTACCTGTGAGACATGTTTTTATTTTATCCTAGGCTTTAGACACAGAATTAGTTTATTTGTTTCAGGAATTAGGCTCCTCAAAGCCATCCGAAGTCAAAAGGTGACTCCAAGTCAGTGTAGAAGACTAATTATGTAACACATAAGTATAAACAATCTTTTTTTAAATCAAATGTGACAAAAGAGCTTAAGGCATTATAACCAGTTGAGGCACGGAATTTGACTATTTGTTCATTTCCTGCGCCCTTTCAGAAGACAGTTTTTTTCAAGAACAACACTGTCCAAATCACACAGAATCGGGTTCTTGACTTCCTTTTACTTATTAACTCTAGGCGGATTGCAATACAGCAGCATCTCTGGAGCCACCCTTTGGTTGTGAAAGTTGAATGTCATCATCTTATGTGCTAACAATTAAAAAAAAAACATACTGCAGAAGACGAAAGATGAAGAAATGTGGCTGTCGGAATAGCTAACGTCGGAGCGCCACAAAACATGAAATGTAAAATAATTTGTCACTGATGTGTCCTCGTTGACTGCGGAAAAATTTACCTTTGACACGACTCGTGTGTCATGACCCCACTGCTGCTGCAGACACAACATGGCATGACACCACACTCAGACACTGGGCTGATTTGGTTTAAAGTCCACGTTGCCTGACTGTGTGGATCATCGTGACGGGACATTGAACTCCGTCTAATCAGGATCGTCTGGCCTTGTTGGCACTGTGACTTTTAACCTGGTTCAACACCAGGTGATGTCATTGTGTTTCGGTCCACTCTGTGTTTACACCTGCTGGCCTGGAATTTAAAATACCTCCACTGAGGAATAATAGATGAATATTACTAACAACACCCTCTCCCTTTGCTGCTAAATGACATGAACCTGTTTCGAAGTGAGTGATGAAATGATTTTCTTTATTTGGTTTATTTATTTTATTTAGTCTAACGCAATGGTTTTCAACCTTGGGATTGTGACCCCACCTTGGGTCGTCTAGACTGCTATTAATTGATTAAAATATATATATATATATATTTTTTCAATTAATTATCACAACAACGCCACCCACAATACCAATACCACCAACGCCAGCTGTGTTTGTTTGAGATTACACAGAAGTCAGAGAACTTCCTCCAGGCAGCAATATTCAAACAGAACATTTCCGAGAACACATTCAATCACGCGGGTGAATGAGGAATGAACCGCGGAATAGCTATTTCTATGTTTAAAAACTGAAACGAAAAACCAAAAAACGTCGGTCTCGTTTCGGGTATTTTTAATAGCTTTACATCATCACACAGGAGAGTCTAATTCAATCTGGGCATCTGTGGAATATGTTCAAAAACAAATCCCTCTAACCGCACCTCACAAATTGTCTTACTTAAAAGATTTCCTGCTAAAGTTCTGCTGCCAAATATTAAAGCACGCTTTCAGAGTTTGGGCTGTTTGATGTTTATTCAAAGATTATCCAGTACGTACCGGTACGTGTGTGTTAGTATTTGACACGCAGGCCTGTGTGCGAGTGTCAGAGTGATGTGTAATTTAAGGGATCGTCTCTACAGAGAGTACTGTTTGTACAGCGGCAGGTATTGACAAATACAGCAGCAGGGGTGATTCAGCTGCCTCCTGGCAGAAATATAGTAAAACACAGCATTGGATAGAATATAAAAAAAAAAAAATTTAACTGCCAAAATAAAAGTCTGCAGATTAACACGTTAAACACCCCCATTAACAAATGATTATCAAAAGCTAATGATTAAAAGACGTGTATTGAGTTAGAGGCTTTCTGTTTAAGACCTAGAACGGAATAGAAAAGAGAAAAGAGTTTTTGTGAGACAGATAATAGCAGCTGGAAAAAAAAGTGAAAGTGAAAGAAAGTGAAAGAAAAGGAAAAGCTGAAAGTGAAGTCAAGGCAACCGACTTTTGCTGTATTTGGACAGAAGCTACGATTATTACTCATACTGAGTCGATGAGATGTTTTTGGTGGTTTACAATTCCAAAACAAAACTATATATTTAAACAATTCACTGTGTTATTTTATTTTTCCAGCCACATTTTCCAGTTACAATTAATCAAAGTATTTGTCGGACCCACTTTAGCAACACTTGAAACTCGCCGTGAAGTCGTTCGGCTTGTCAGGGCATAGGGTTCAAACCCCTCTCCTGTCTTATCTCAGGTGTCTGGGGATAAGATATTCCCTTTTTCTATTACAGCCTATTTCTTTCCCGGCACATCACCCAGTGGCCAGAAAA